TTCTTGATTACATCTTGTAAGGAAGGGCTTGTGGTGATGAACTCCCTCAGCTTTTGTTTATCTGGGAAACTTTTTGCTTCTCTATCATATCTGAAGGATATTTTCACTGGATAGAGTATTCTTGGCTGTGAAAACTTATGTCTTTCAGAATTTTGAATATATAATTCCTCTCTCTTCTAGCCTGTAAGCTTTCTGCTGAGAAATTCACTGAAAGCCTGATAGGGATTCCTTTTTAGGTTATTTTCTTCTGCCCTTCTGCCTGTAATATTTTTTCCTTGTCATTGATTTTTGCCATTTGTTTGACTACTATACTTTGGAGAAGGTCTTCTTACATTGATGTAATTACAAGTTCTATTAGCTTCTTTTACTTGTAATTCCTGCCTCTTCTCCAGGCTTGGGAATTTTTTGGCTATTATTTCTTTGAACAGCCATGTGTTCCTTTTTCCCTCTCTTCTCTCTCTGGAACACCTATAATCCTTATGTTGCATTTCTTAATTGAGTCAGATATTTCTTGGAGAGTTCCTTCATTTCTTTTTAGTCTCAGTTCTCTCTCTCCTCCATCTGAAGCATTTCTATATCCCTATCCTCTGAATTGCTAATTCTATCCTCCATAATATCAGTTCAGTTATTTAAGGACTCTAGATTTTTAAAAAATCTCAATCACAGTGTTTTTCATCTCCAAAATTTCTGATTGATGTTTCTTTATAGTTTAAATCTTTTTTTGTGAAGAATTCCCTCTGTTCATTAATTTTATTCCTGATTTCATTGAACTGTCTTTCTGAGTTCTCTTGTAACTCATTGAGATTTTTGTTATGATAGCTATTTTGAATTCTCTGTCATTTGATTGTAGATTTCTGTGCCTTCAGGATTGATTTCTGGGGTGTTTGTCTTTTTCCTTCTGGGGTATTAATATACTTCTTCATAAACTATTTAATGGGGTGTATTTGTGCCTTTGCATAGTGATAGTATCTGGTTGCAGATTCTATCTTCTGCCTCTGGGGGGCTGCAGGAGCTGTATATTCTGAGCCTGCTGTGATCCCCACTAGCTGTGCCTGTCCGAGCTTGAGCCACTCCTTGGGACTGCAGTTGCCCTATGGGCTCTCTGCTGGACAATAAAATGATCAGGCAGGGGCTCAGAGTTTCTGCTGTTTGCTCCCATAGTCCTGCTGAGATGTGCTCCACACTTCAGGGCCACAGTGGTACTTGGGGGTTCACAGCAGCCAGGAACTTCTTCACCTAGGTTCTCAGATCTGCTTCTGCTTTCTCCTAGGTTGCACCATCCATTGTGCCTGCTGGGCAGTGTCTCCCCACTGGGTCCCAGCCTAAGCAACTCCTTGAGACCATGGTGGCATTGTGGGCTCTCCCACCAGATGAGAAAGCAATTACATGGGGGGTCAGGGCTGCCATCACCTGTTCCCACCCTTGTGGCTGCAGAGGTGCTATGGGTTCTCCAGCTGAGAAAGCAGTCACACGTGTGTACAGGGCTGCCTGGGGGCTGAAGACTGCTGACCTATCTCCACCACCTCCCTGGGGTAGTCCATCTGCCTTTCAGATGTATAGTTGCACAGGTCTCTCACGCCTTCTGATGTGCTGTGTGGGTATCCTCTGCTGATCAATGATTGTGCATTTAGTTGTAGTTCAAAGGGGAAGAGACAAAGGGAAAAGCTCACTCTGCCACGTTGCTGACGTCACTCCTACATTCCAGTTTTCTCTTTTTTTCATGTTTCATGTCTCTGCTTTGAATTTTGATTTTGTGGTTTATATAAAATTACTCATAGATAAGATAGTTTTTTTCTGCTGATAGCATCTTATCTTCATTTGCCAGATATATTTCATCCTTTTCTTCTTCCCCTTCTATGTTTTTGTTGTTGCAAATTATTTCTTTTTGTGTCGTGAGTTTGTTACCAAATTGAAGTGGCTATCATTAGTTTTTAATGCTTCCTTTTTCTTTAACTTTTATGTTATAATTAAGTGTTTACCAGCCTATTCTGATGTAGAGTTGCAGTTTTCTGATTTAGTCTGTCTATTCATCACCTTTCTCAAAGTTTTATATACCTTTGCCTTTTTGTTTCTGGTAGGAGAACTCTTTTCAACATTTCTTATAGGGCAGGTCTAGTGGCAATAAACTCCCTCAGCAATTGTTTGTCTTGGAAAGCCTTTGCTTCTCCTTCATATCTGAAGAATAATTTTCTGGATAGAGTATTTTTGCCTGGCAGTTTTTGTCTTTCAATATTTTGAGTATATAATTCCACTCTTTCCTGGCTTGTAGCTTTTCTGCTGAGAAGTCTGATAACCTAGTTGGGGTTCCCTTGCAGGATTTTTTCCTCCTGGATGACTTTAATATTCTCTTTTCCTCATTGACTTTTGACAGTCTTATTGCCATATGTTTTGGAGAAGGTATTTTTGCATTGAAATACTTTGGTGTCCTATTCTTTTCATGGATTTGTATATCCAGTTTCTTACCCATTTTTTTCAAAGTTCGCCCCTGTTATTTCTTTAAATAAGCTCTCTGTTCCCTTGTTTTTCTCTTCTCTCTCTGGGATACCCATTATACTTATGTTGCCCTTTTTAATGGAATAAGATAGTTCTCATGGAATTTCTACCTTTAAAAAATATCTTAGTTCTATCTCCTCTTCTACATGCATAATTTCTAGATTTCTATCATTGAACTAATTCTCTCTTCCATATGGTCTACTCTATTTCCAATGCTTTCTACTTTATCCTTCATCTGAATTTTTGAGTTCTTCAGGTCCAGAATTTCTGTTTGGTTCTTTTTTAGAGTTTCATACTCTTTGGTACAGTACTCTTTCTGTTCATTAATTTTATTCCTAAACTTGTTGAACTGCTTTTCTGAATTTTCTTTTAACTCATTGAGTTTATTGATGACAGCTATTTTGAATTCTTTGGCAGTTAGATCACAATCTTCCATGACTTGATGTTTGGTTTCTGGACAATTGATACTTTCTTTTTGTGATACTGTGTTACTGTGTCTATTTGTGGTGCTTGATGAACTATTCCTCTGCTGGTACATTTGTTGTAACAAACACTTTTCTAATTTAGGTACAGCTTTGCTTGCTTTAATCCTAACTATTCAACTAGTTGGTGATTAGAAGCTTTTCTTTTGTTTTTCAGTAGGTGGTGCTACAGCACCAGTTTTTGGTTTCTCTTTCCTGAGCTGCCTCTGGCTATACTGGAGGATCAGCACTTTCCACCCCCTACTACCTTTAGTAACTGATAGTAACTTTAGTAACTGATGTTTTACTGGTGTCACTGGTCACTAGCTTCTTCACCAGGAGCACAGAGTTGGGGGGTTAAGTTTCCGTGTTAGGGATCACCTGGGTGGTGGCAGGTAGAGAGTGTGAGGAGGGAGCCACATTCACAAGCCACCACCTCAGATGTTGCCTGGTTCCTTGTGGCTAATGACACTGCTGTGGTCAGGAGGCCTGAGTTATGTGCTTGCCTTTGTTGCTTCTACCAGGCTCTGAGCCATGGTGGGGCTTCAGGATCATATGGCTCCATCTCTGCTGTTGTTCCACTCCCTGTAGTGACAGTCACTGCTGTGGCTGTGAAGCCAGAGTCATGTGCACACCTCTATTGCTGCTGCCAGGTTCTCTGGGGCTGAAGGTGGCTGGCTTATGGATCATAGGCCCTGCCTCCACTGTTCCCCCAGTTCACCTCCTCTATGTTCTCCAATCCAACCACCTTTCTATGTACTGATATGTGGATCTCTCCAGCATCCTTGCGTGTTGGGCAGTGTAGCCTTTGTTGAGCTATGCATATTTTGCTCATTGTAGATCAAATAGAGTAACAAAGGGAGTGTCGCATGCTGCCAGGATGATCAAAACAAGCAGAATTGTTTTTTAGGTAAACTTCAAATCTCTGTGTTTTTGCAGTCAGTTACTGGTGGACTATTGTGAACTTTTGGTGGTGTCATGTTTCTTTGAGTTTTCATGTTCCTTGAAATCTTGCATTGCTGTCTTCACGTTTGAAGTTGCAGTCATCCCTTACAGTCTTTACTACCTGACTCTGGAAGCAAAATACATTCCATCAGCCCTGCTAGGGCTGCTGTGGCTTCCTCAGACCTCCTATACATATGCCTGCTCTATGCTTCTCTTTCCCTCTTGTGGCAAAATTCTTAAGCTTATATACCTTCTCAATCCTGCAGTGCACAAAGTTGTGTACTGACAGCCTTTTTTGCCTTCCTAAGGGCAAACATAAAGCTCAAATTTGTCATCTCTCCATAGCCCACAGATTCTGGGTGGCTTTCTGCATGTGCCCATTAGCTGTCTATCAAAACTTACTTTTACCACTGCTGCAGCTCACGTAGGGAGCTGGTCACAGGGTGGGGTGTGTGGGTGAGATACATGAAGCACTAGGGGTCCCCATTGGCTAGGTGAGGGGACCTGTGGGTGAGGCATCCCAAGCAGTTTGTGGGTGGACTTCTGAATGGAGACCTTGATATGGGTTAGTAGAATCGATGTTCCTTTAATGTCTTCTGAGAGTTCCATCTGTTGCTGCTCTCCAAGCCTCTTCCTGCCCCCAGTCACTCAGCTCATGACTTACTACCCTGGATCATGCCAGAGAGAAATGGCAGTGACTCATACAACTGGGGAATCCAGGTGCTAACTCACACACTTATGTTTTCCCCTACAGGAGAAATCTTAATCTGAGAAGGTCTCTCTTGTCATTGAGCTGTGCCACCTTGGGGGAGGGGTGATGCAAGCAGAGTCAAACTGTTCCTCTTACCCTCTTCAATGCATCCAAACTTGTATTTGTTTTTCTTCAATGGTGTTCTAGAACTTTTCTGCTGGAAAGCTGTACTTCCACAAAGAATCTTTCATTCATGGAGGATTGATTAAGACAGTGTTCTCCAAAAGGGTTCCTGGACTGCAGCAAGAATAAATTAGAGTACAGCCAGCACTTCCCTGTGTATTCATCATGGCATCTTACTTTGACATTCTTCAGAGAGTAATGGCCACTGTTTCACCTCTGCCTTGCAGATATCAAGCAAAATCCTCTTCTGGCCAACCCTCCTATGGAGCTACAGAGTGAAGGAGATTCTGGAAAACAATTCTCCACTTAACAAAGACAGATAGTAGGAGATACCACAATGAGTATGTGCCATATTGGGACTCCTCCTTCAACCTGGATAAGAATGAAGAATACATGGAATTGATCTACAGCTGGGACAGAGCTTCAGTCAATCAACAGCCCTTATAAACATGAACAAGAAATAAACACTTGGTGCAATAAGTCTCTGAGATGTTGTGGTTGTTTGTTATTACAGCACACTTGATGAATAGTGAAATTGATGTTGGAAATGAGGAGCTGCCTAAACCAAAAGCCAAAAGTATGTATCAATTCTTTTGTTATTGGCTAAGGAGGAAACCGGAATCTGGGGAAAGAGTGACCCATGTTTTCAATGATATTTCATAAAATGCACAATGGATAACTTGGAAGACAAATAATGACATAATAAAATTGAGGCTTTGAGTGAACATATTTTGAAAAAGAATGTCCCTAGTGAGACCTGGTTCTTACCTATCAGCTGCATTTAATAAGGTTCTTTGAGAAAGACATGAGCTCATAAGATGATTGAACTTTCAAGGCTTGCAGATTGGGAAATAGAACTATTTTTTATAATATTTGAAATAGGACATAAATAATTTATGTAAACCACAAAATATGATTAATATTGAGATTAAGACAGCCTCAGAGCAAAAAAAAATAAAAATCATGGAGAGGCCATCCTACCTTTTATTAAATCTTTTGAAAGAATAGGTATGGTCCCTAGAAACATTCTCTGAGTTAGACAAACGACTCAGTAAAAGAGAATAAGAATTGTCTCATGAAAGTAAATAAAGTAACTGTAATTAAGCTGAGAGAGAGAGGAAGAGGGGTATTTCAAAAAGAATTGTAAGTGTAAGTATAAAAATTCTATTGGTATAGGGATCTTAACAGAATCGGATAGACAGTGAGCCAATGAAGTTTTTGAGAGAGCTGTATGGCCAAAAGCAGTATCAGCCTGGATTGAGACCTGTGATTGAGGTGTTAAACAACATTTAAAGTTCAGGATAAAAGTGAGAAGTCATCAGAAAGGCAAAACAATTCTAAATGTTTATGACCCTAACAACAGAGCTACAAAATACATGAAGCAAAACCAGAAAGAACCAAGAGGAGATAGAGAAAATTTACAAATTTTTTCATAGTTGAAACATTATAGTTGAAGAATTAATTCAACATAGTTGAAGAATTAATTTTAACCCTCATTCAGTAACTGATTGAACAGTAAACACAAAATTAGTATTAGTATAGAAGATCTGAATGATACTATCAAACAACTTGACCCAATTGACATTTAACAAACACTTTCAACAATAGCATAATATGCATTCTTTGTTAGTATATGGGGAACATTCACCAAGATAAAACATATGCCAGACAATAAAATCACTCTGAATAAATTTCAGAGCATTGAAATCTTACAGAATATATCTTTTCACCACAAGAGAATCAAATCAGAGATTAAAAATTTAAATTTATTAAAAATATCCAACTATTTGAAAATAAAGTACACTTCTGAGTAATCCATGTGTCAAAGCAGAAATCATCAGGAGCATTACTATACAAAATTTCAAAGTTAAATAGTAAAGAAAATCAAAATTTGTGGGATGCACTAATTCAATATTTATAGGAAAATTTGTAACTTTTAATGTCTTTATTGGAAAAATAAAAGAATTTAAAATGAAGGATCTATGTATTCACTTTGGGGGCAAGAAAAAAAGTAAATTAAATTCAGTGTAAAGGAAATGAATAAATAACAATAAGAGTAGTAGTCAATATGATAGAAATCATATAAATCATAGAGAACATTTATAAAGTAAAAACTTGATTGTGGGAAAATAAACAAAATTGATAAAACTGTAACAAAACAAATCAAGAAAAATGAGAGATAACACAAATAATATCAGGGAAGAAGAAAGGAACATCACTATAGCTTCTACAGACAATTAAAAGATAATAGGAGAATATAATGAACAACTCTATGTCAATCAATTTCATATGTTAGATGAAATGGACACATTCTTTGAAGAACACAACTCACTAAAACTGATTGCTAAAGAAATATAACAGAAAATTGTCTTCTTACGTACCGCAACTAAGAAAGGGAAAATCAAATAAAAATATAGAAGCATTTCCAGTACAATAAAAAGACATAAAATATGTCAGATTAGGTTAAACAAAAGAGAAGCAAGACTTGTAAACTAATACCTACTAAGCGTTGCTGACAGAAATGAAAGAAAATGTAAATAAAGGAAAAAATGTACCAAATTCGTGGATTAGAAAACTCAACATTATCAAGATGTCCACTCCCTCTAAATTCAGCTGAAGATTCAAGGCAATAACAATCAAAATTCCAGAAAAATCTTGTTGTCCTTCTGGTACAAATTTAAATGATAATTTTAAATTTACTTGAAAATACCGAAAACCTAGAATAGCTAAAACAATTTTTAGAAAGAAAAGAAAAGTTGGAGTACTCTTCCTGCCTGACTACCAGAATTGCTCTATGGAAAAACGTATAAATTGATGAAATAGGAGAGTGATTCCAGAAATAGACCCATACATACATTATTAGTTAATTTTCAACAAAGTTACCAAGGTAATTCTTTAGGAGAAATGATAATTTTTATCATGTTGTGCTGAGACAACTGGATATCTGCGGGGAAAAAAAAAAAAACTTGACCTAATGCTTTACACAGAACACGTTTGCTATTGGTTATAGACAGAAACGTAAAAGCAAAATATATAATATTTCTACAAAAAACCATAGTAGGGATTCTTTATGGCCTTGGAGCAGTTAGATTTCTTAGGTCACATAAAACACTAAACATTTAAAAAAATGATAAATTGGGCTTCCTCAAAATTAAACATCTATTCTTCAAAAAACATCCTTCTATTTACATTATAGCATTCTATTTATATTGTTTATAATATATGTATTATATTTATATATTATTTTTAATAGCCCAAACTTAAAACAACCCAAATTTTAATCAACAAAGGAGTTGGTAAACAAATTGTGTTATATAGTGGAATACTACTCAGCAATATAAGGGGTGAACAGCTGGTACAATACAGAGGTATGTCAGAATGTGGATGAATCTCTAAAACACGTGTAGGGACAGAAACCAGACACAAAGAATGTATACTATGATGAGGGTTGCCAATATTTTCCTGTAAAGATTGTAAATATTTTATGTTTTCTGAGCCATATGGTCTCTGTCACAACTACTCAGCTTTGCTATTGTAGCATGAAATCAATGATAGGCAAGATGCAAATGAATGAGTGTGACTGCATTCTAATGAAACTTCATTTTCAAAAATAGGTGTCAAACTGGATTTGGCTCATGAGCTGTAGTTGGCCAACCTCTGCTGTATGATATTATTTATATGAAGCTCTAGAATGGGCAAAACTAATCCATAATCATAGAATTCAAAATAGCAGCACCCTAAGGTGGGGGTAGGGTGGTAAATTGATTGCTAAGGGGCAGGAGAGACTTGTATGGTGTAAAGTAAATGTCCGTATCTCGATTGGAGTGATGGTTACACACAGTATACATTTGTCAAAGTTCATTAACTTATGTAGAAAGGAGAGCATGCGCAGAGGTGTGGAGACAAGAAATAACACGGAGAGTGAAGACAATCCCCCAAAAATTAGCATCACTGGAGCACTAAGTAGAAGACATAGAAAGTAAGGGTCTAAATTTAGGAATATTAGGTAAGATTAGGGAACTGCTCATGTGACCTGGAGACTTTGAAGTAGTGAATAGTATAAATTATATACTATATTAGTGTATATATGCACCATATTATATATCATATTAGTAACCATTTTAATTTTTTTCTTTTTTTTCTTTTTGAGGAAGAGTGGCCCTGTGCTAACATCTGCACCCATCTTCCTCTATTTAATATGCGGGGCACCTGCCACAGCATGGCTTGATAAGCAGTGCATAGGTCTGCGCCCAGGATCTGAACCACAAACCCCAGGCCACTGGAATGGAACACGCAAACTTAATTGGCATGCCACCAGGCCGGCCCCTCACTTTAATTTTTCAGGTTTAATTTCAGACTTCTGCTTTAGTTAGGTCTGTAACTGGATATTAAATTAGGATTCAATGTTAGTTTCTAGAAGACATAAGGCAACTTTTGCCAAATATCTCCGCTTTCCCAAGCAAGGATAGAATACTCAACAGGGCTTGAAAAGGAGGGGTGATCCAAAATATGTTTTGTAATTCTCAGCCCTTCACCAGCATCCAGTATATTATAAAGTTGGCATAGAAGTGACCAAACTTGGGGGGGAAATTTCTGTGGAAAGAGTTCCTAGAATGCCGTTGACCCCTACCTCCACCTGAAGAGGATGTTTCCTCCTCACCTAAGCCTAGAGGGACATCAAGGAAACAGACAAGCTGAAGAACCTCACCTGTGTCTCCAGTAATTTGTGAGCTGCAAAGAAGACAGTTTCCTACCCACACCTGAGAAAACCCAGAGGCAAGAGACTGTGGCTGAGCAGTGGCTCTGATGGTGGAGAAATGAGATACAGTAGCTTTGGGAATATGTTGTATGAGCAGAGTTATTTCAGGCCAAGGATAATCTTGTGTTTTCCAGGAAAAAAAGGTGAGCTTTTGTTCAAGAGGAATGAGGCGATCCCAAAATAGAATGTCTTTATAAAGTTGCTTAACCACCCTGTATTCACCCACAGGAAGCAGAGCCTGGGCCAAGGCAACTGCTGGTGAGAGTCTCCAGCAATGGAAGGGCTCTCCAGACCCTGTAAATAAGCTTGAGTGAAAAAGAGGAGTTTTTTTCATTAACAAGCTTAGAGGAAACCAATACCACATTACATCTGGGCAGTCAAAGGAGACTTTCCTGTCCTTCACATCTTCTTGCCCCGCTTCAATCCTGAAAGACTGAGACATGGCCCATGGAGTGGGGAAGTAGAACTGGAAGCCTCCGATGGGAGAAAGAAGAAACTGACCGCATCGCTTTTTCTACTGGGTCATCCAGCCTGAAAGTAGGCCCAATTAGAAAACGCAAGACATTTAGAATAGAGACAATTTTTTAAATTGCATACATGGATTTGTGAACCTCCTGCAAAAGCTTTGCCCACTTCCAAGTAACTATGGCCTATAGGTGGGGAATCACCTTTTTGGAGAATCTGTATTTTAGTTGAATCCAAAGCACTGCCTTTCCAGT